TCTTGCACCGGGAACCCTGCTGTCTTAAGTGTTGCGCGAACAAAGGAAAACCAACAATAACCAAGACCAGTCTCTGCCTTAAGGAGCTGACAGCATCTCCCTTATTTCTCCCAGCTTCTGTAAACAAACCCTTGCTAATGTCACTGTTTCTCAGAGGACGATAAAAGGAACTGACGCTGACTTTTCCTGCCGTTCCCGAAGCCTTCTCCTCCCTCTTCCATGCAGGGAGAAGTTTGTTAAAAATTAGATCGCATCTAATGACTGCTAATTATCTTAGAGGCTCTTGGTAAGATACAGCGAAGGGACCAAAGGCAGTGCTCAAGCACAGCCCTGCCTGAGAAACAATGGCCTGGCTGGCGCCACGGAGCAGAATTGGGCCTTGGATATTTTAGCTGATGGTTCTCAATAGGATGTCTGATAGCGAAAGTACTAAAGAAAGGTTAGTACACAAGTCTCTCTCTATTTACACACACAGTTACGTACATTCGGGTCTGAGGTTAAAAATTTTCTCTTTTGGAATGGGGAGAGATCATATCACCCTTCTTCAGGTTTTGACATTTTGGTTGAATTTCATCCCAGCTGTTCCCCACGCCCCTCTTTGGGAAAGACTCTGCCCTGGGAAAGCCTCGTGCACCGTTCGCCCAGGAGTGCAAACCATGCTGCCATTGAGAGACAGGACTCGGCCGGCAACCTGCAGCTCCCCGGGACAGAGGGAGCGTCGGCGTGGCGTCGCTGCCTTCTCCTGCCCAACGGGGTCAATGGGAAGCTGCTCCCGGTTCTTGTCTCAGCCACATGGATTTAACGAATAGTAACTCGTTACTATTACTCTTGTTGGCTTTTTGGGGTGGGGGGGGGGGAAATCCAGATTTAGCTCTACCTTATTGGAAACAAAACCTGGCCAGCTGTGCACACCATTATTACAGATGTTGCAGCAAAAAGAAACAGCCTCTGTGCACAGTTGAGCAGGAGAGGTGACAGGCCTCTTCTGCTTCCAGCTCTGTGGCCAGCTGCTGTCTCCTGTCCTTGTGATCTGTGCTGTTTAAAACACTAAGCAAGCAAAAGAAAGAGAGACACCTTAAAATTAAATAGGCAGCAGGAGCCAGCAGGTGACTCTAGCACCCTGGCAAATCTCTGCCCCTGCACTCAGCAGAGCCCAGGGAGCAAACCCAGGACCATAGAAAGGGTCCTGATCACCTGAGATAGACACAGGCAGGATCACCCCTGCCCCAGCCGCTCCCTAATACCTTCCTGCCCTAGTCTCCCATTAACTAATTAGCATTGACCTTTTAAAGCATGTATGGCCCCTCTGCCAGTTTTCCCTCATCCTCTTACCTGCAACCCCCCCTCCTTTTTCCCCAAACAGCTCCAAAGGGAGGAAGAGCATCCACATCTCCCTTTATGGGCTGTTCAGGCCCAGAGCTGGCGGGGGCCATGCCCGCTGTTGTCGGTGGCACAGGACGGTTGTGCTCCTGGGAGCCCTTCTTTCTCCCTGGGCATTAAACTGTCTGCTCAGGCTTTGTGGCCGCTTGATTTGTTTCTATATATAAACTTTGCAGATGCTTTGTGCAAGCAACGCATGGCGCGTTTCCAATGCAGCCAGGCCAGCACGCGGAGGGCATCTGCGGCTACGTGGCAGGGGATCAGAGCTCTTCTCCAGCAGATCCCGAGAGAGACCGGCCAACCTGTAACTCTCCACTTAGCAACAAGGTACTGGCAATCTGTCCAGAGGATTGCATCCCATCAAATCCATGCAAATCCTCCAGTGCAAGATGCACTTTGCTCTGCAGAGCTCTGCCATATGGCTGAAGAATAAGCCATAAAGGGACATTGGTCTTTGAACTGAGGGCCAGGTCTTGGAGGTACTCAGATCTGGTGGCTGGTCCCCAGATTTTCTGACTGATCTTGCCAAATCATGGGAGTAAAGAAATGTGGATTTTTATCTCAGTTTCCCTATGGATTTTCTGTCTGACCACGGGGTGGTTGCTTAGAGCCTGACTTTGAAAAGACACATGTAGTTTGCACAGAAAGTGGCAATTACCTGAAGCACCGGTAACTACGCTGGTGGTACACCCACAGACGCGGCAGGGCCTTAGGGACCGCTGCACTCTGGTCTGGACAGGAGAGCAGAGAAGCAGTCCTAAAATCACTTTTAGTGAACTGCAGTTTTGGTGGAGTGTAAAAGATGCGAGGTTTTACTCCCAGGCGCTGGCATCTCAGAGCCCTGCCTTTGCGTTTTGCTGGATGAGGGATTTGAGCGTGTGGGGGAAAAGCCCACGGCCATCTCCGAAGCCCGCGAGCTGTGACTGGGCCAGAGCTTCCTCCGGTCTCTCACTGTGCAGAGAGGTGCCACTGAGCTGTAATGAACCGTATTGCACAGCACCTCCCTTTTCAGGATTTTAAAGGGCTCAGCATCCTGCAAAACAAAAATTCCCACGTTGAGCATGAAGCAAGCAGAGCAGCTCAGCGCGTGCGGCTCAGCTGGCGAGGGACAGCAGAGGCTGCCGGAGCAGACCAGCGTGTTAGAGAATGACAAATTGGGGAAACCTTTGCGGGCTGAAACTTCTCAAGAGCTGAAAACTGGAGAGAAACCAGGGGGCACGCTGAGAAAATGCTGAGGGACTATTTCCCTTTTATTCTGAAGGCATGTGTTTTCAGCCCTTTGTTTCCAACACGTTTTCCTTACCTCGGTTACAGGGGCCTGGTTTTTTATAGGAATGTCAGATTCTAAGCCCAGTTAATAACAAGCATTTTCTTTCCAACAACACAGCTGTTTTTTTTTTTTTTTTTCCTTCCATCTGTGTTACGTTATTAGGGACTAATATTGAATTTAACATCCTTCTGTCGTTCCTGCTGGGATGAGTCAAATGGCAAATGCATTTCTCCTTTGGCATAGGTCCTAAGTGAATCAGCTTGTCAGACCGTTGCTTTGTCACCTATAGGGATCCTAAATTAAAAGTCCACCCTGTTATGGCACACTGTATATAATAAGCTGCTTTAATAGATATGAGATAAAACAGAAAGAAGACGATGCTGTGATGGATAGGGAGAGAGCTGGTTCTCTGGACTTTGCAAACCCGTATTTGAGTCCAACCTTGCCTGGCACAGCCACCATGCGCACTCCCTGTCAGCCAGAGCCTGCGCCCGTAAAACACCTCCTTGTTGTCTTTAGCTTGGCCAACTAACAATTTGTTTTTTGGGTTTTTTAGTATTTCCAGTTCCATTCACGTTCTTCCCTGTAAGCGATGTCGTGCTTCATTTTGGGCAGCTGTAGGTGCCCGCAGGCACGAAGGACCGCCGCTTGCTCGCACAGAACAGAATCACATTGGAGGTACATGGACCCGCCAACTCCAGCTTATTGCTGGATTTGATTTTGGGTAATAAGGCCCAAAAATGTTACCTGTGGCAGATGTATTTTTTTTTTTTTTAGCTGCTTGCAAAAATCAAGTTTCTATCTCCTAATTTTGAAGACCCCTGTTTTCTTTCCATTAAGTGTTTTCTTTCCATTACGAACACAGGAAAGATGCCGCATGCAAACCTGCCTGCCACCTAAATCCTATTAGGTTTTTCCTAAGTGTCCTATTCCCAGGGGCAACATCCTGGATATGGGCAAATTCCTAATTGCCCTAAGCTTACTGTACTCCTTAGCCGCGTGGGAATTGTTGTCCGCGTGCACCATTGCACATGCCGTTCGTCTGAACCTGGGTGCATCCGCCAGAAAGCCGGCTCCACGCACACGCCTGCGAGTCGAGCAGCACGTTCTTCCACCTGGCTTAACGCAAAACCCGAGATGTGCAAAGGCCCTCCAGGCACGGACGGCTGCGCACCCGGGACCGGCCCAGCCGGCACGGGCGTGTGCTCCTGCGGAGGACGGTGCACAGCGCGCACGCCCGCACCGACGCTGCGGAGACGGACGCAGGTCGGCCCAAC